ATTTTCCTCCCCTCTGAACGCGCAAGATGCCCTGACATAGAAAAATCAAAGTGTGCAAAGTGTGTAGACGCCCTGAGAGATAGACAGATAGACAGTGATTCCCTATTTCTTTCCGAAGAGAAGAAAGAAAGAAAAAACCTCCTTATTATCCCATGCGGCTTGTTAGGTAGCCGGTTGAGCTATATGTCCGTCTATCTTCTTCTCGTTTTGGGAAACTTGAACGGGTATCTCGAAATCGGCAGGAACTCAGCGCCGTCGCAATGCGTGTACGTATGAACGGAAGGAAGGAGAGTCTTTCGTGTTGTTTGCGAAAAGAGAAAAAGCCGTGAGGTTGGAATCCTTTGATTTCTCACTCGTCGCAGTCGTCGTTCTCGATTGATTGTTTGTTTGTTCAAGACGGGAACCGAATGAGAGAGGCGAGGCGGTGGTCTTTGGTCGAAGATCGAAAAGGACTGAAGTGAACTGAAGTGAAACTTGGTGGGAAAGGCCATCGAAAAAGAATCTGTTGCTCAGGTCGGATAAGGCTTCTTCTCTTCAACTGCCTGTAATGACTGGAACATCGATTATGGGCAAAAAAGAACATCTCCTGAGTCAAGTCGGATGGGCTTTCGGAATCCTTGGGACGAGACGGAAGAAACTTGTCGGGGGATGTTGGCGTCAACCATACGATTTGTCCTTGAAGAAGATCGCAAGTATAGTGAACATTGAACCGACGTCTTGGTGCAGATGTTGGTCTGTCAAAGGGCGGTCTTTCAGAAGGAAAAAGACGTAAATGCAAAGAGTAAAGGCAAAGATCTCTGCTTGTGGACCAGTAGGACTTCTTGAATAGGTATCAAGAGTGCCGACGGAACAGCAGGAGCAGAGTAATGGTCTGTCGTCTCGAGAGAACAATTTCGAGAACCTCGTTTGCACAACTCGAAAAGAAATAGACCAGAAGAATGTATGTTGCCGCAACTGATATCTTGTTCATCGTCCTTTGCTGTCATAGAACAAGACTGGAAGGGTGGGCTTGGTCGACGGCAAGGATGGAACAGACTGCGAAAAGAACCGAAAATTTCTCAAACTTGGTCTGTAAGAGAAAACTGAACTTCTCGAGAGTCGTGTTCTTGAATTATAGAATCGACCTAAGAAGCTGTTGTATGTCCGTTCGTTCGTTTGTCTGTCAATGGGCGAAAGAGTCGTGAACAATAAAGGCACTGGCAGTAACAAGAAACCGAAAAGACTGAGAGCTGGAGACCGAAGAGAGAACAGTAACTCAGAAGAGCCTGTAGGATAGTTGCGAACAATGATATCATGTACGAGAGACGAGGATAAAGGTCGGAGATAGTCGAAATGCTCGTTGTGAATGATCATGAATTCGCAAAAGAACCGAAGTCGAGTCTCCTTTTACTCAATCGGCTCACAGGGATCGGGTCCCCAGGCGATCTGCACAGCCGCAAGATCGGGGTTGTCGCCGCGCACACGACTTGCTCCAATTGCATCATACAACTTCTTGAAAGCCGACTGAGCTTGTAGGCGGTATGAGCCAAAAGCCCATCGCATGGTGACGACTCCCGCAGCTGTGGTGCTTGGGTTCTGTGCCTCGACCTGTGCCACTTGTTCCAGCTGGAATGTGATAGAATCACTGAAGAAGCGGTTTAGGTTCTGCCAATTGACAAACGACTCTGGGCCTGTGATGATGATGACGCGAGAGCGATTGGAAGCAGCCTGGGCAGAGGTCTTAATCCTGTTCAGCTCGACAGTGGGACTGTAATTTCCAGGAAAGACGAACTCGCCCCGGGCGGCCTTCCGAAGGAGGTTGTCCACCCCCGCCCGGTCCCAAAAGACGACTTTGGCCGCACAGGTCGGATGCAAGCCCACCGGCTGGTTGATGACAGTGGCGAAGATCTTGCCCGTGTCTTTGAGCCGGCCTAGGAGCATGTCGTAACCGCACGTTGGCGGGAGACCCTGGATCCATACCGACGTATTTTGGTTATCAGGGATATTCGCGGATAGGTTGTCTGGCCGGCTACGACTACCTCTGTAGTTTGACGACATGCGCCCCTGGTTAGAGGCCTCCTTAGTTCCAGTCGTCTGGGCAACACCACGAGGCACGGGCATCGGGGTAATAACACTTCCCCGACGTACATGGGGAGGGACATAGCGGGGCGGTACGCTCGTTTGCTGCGGCTGTAATCCTTGGGCCGCGAAGCCCTCCGGCTGGGGCCGGTTGGCAAGTCCGGGAGCCTGCAAACCCCATGATTGCTGTTGTTGATGCACGTGTGCACGAGGGAGGAACCCTCCGATGCTACCATGACTAGGTCCAGGGTATCCTGTAGATCGATGATAGTCTCAACATTTATATGTTAGCCTGGCGGTGTCTCTTCTGTTTGGCCACTATGTGATGACCTGGGTTGTGCATTACTGTAAAGGAGAGAAGTGTGGTTGTATGTGAGGATGTGTCACAATGTGCATGCGACCGCGGTTGAACTTTGCTTGGATGCCTGTGTGGGATAGAAGTGATCAAAAGAAAAAGACTGGGGAATAAGTAACTTACTCTCGGTTGACGGACTGGTACGAGCGTACATAGGCTCATAGGATGATCTCTGGTCATGTTCTCCTCGATTGTATGGGTGTCCCCGTGGAGGCAGGCGGCCTGGTCGGTTGTTGTTGTTGTTACGATCCATCTTTGGTAACGGTCTTGATTGATTGCTAAAGAAAAGGATAGACGAAGTCGGAGGTATTGACTGTAACGAGGACGTTGATCGTGATGAAAAGTTCAGAAAACCAGAGGAAAGATGTTATCGACTGAGGACAACACGAGAAGAAGATTTGTTGTTTGAAGGGGATGAGGGTGGAAGGCTTCCCACAGCGTGAATGAAGACTTAAAAGAAGACTCTCTGCTGGAGAGCAAAGATGTATTCACTAGAGAGAACACTAGAATTAAGTTTCTTCGTTTCGGAGAGGATGAGGGTGTTCACACTTTCCGCACCGTGGATGAGGACTTAAACGAAGATAGGATGCTCGAGAAGAAAGATGTTATCGACTAAGGAGAACACAAGAAGAAGCTTCTTCGTTTTGGAGAGGATGAGAGTGCAGGGGTTTGTCGCAGTGTAAATGCGATTAAAAAGAAGGAAAATCTGCCCCTCGAGAGGGCACACGTCGTCAAATAGGGAGGACACGTGAAGAAGCTTCTTCGTTTTTAATAAGGACGAGGGTGCAGAGTTTTGTCGGATCGTGAATGAACAGTTGAAAGGAAGATCAGCTGCCTGGTGCAGAAAAAGGTGAACTGAGGAGGGTGCAGTCAACTTGGGAACCTGTCGAATCTTTTAGTTGTACTGGTAAGTTTCAAGGGCCGAAAGAACCACAGTGTTGAGTTAAAATTAGGCTTGCACGGAGGCCTTCCATGGAGTTGAAAAGAAGGAGGGTTGAAGCTGGAAGATTGTAGGTATTTCTTCGTGGTGGAATGTTCACAATGTATGTCCACTTCACCAGCAAAAAGTGTCGGTACTTCTACCACTACGCGCTCCTGCCTAGTTGAACTGAGCAATCGTCGCTAGCGCGTCTTGTCAAGATTAGGAACCCCATTGTTGCCATTCAATGAACCTCCTTCTCCCTCTCTTAGCGGGCATGTAAGTGCCTAATCACTGCATTCACGCTCTGCATTCACGCTCCTATGCTCGCCACCCAGCATGCTTACTGGCTACCATTCACTTAGGGGGGCTTCACCCTACTTTTGTAGGGAGGCAGAGATCGATTCCTCGCTTATCAGGTCTTCGTGAAGCAGCATAGCGGGACGGGAGAAACACCAATAGGATAATGCAAGATTCCTGGTTCCTTCCCATCATGTGGCTAGCAGAGAAAGGCATATTCTATGTGTATCAATATCGTTATGTTCGAATGCTAGCCACGGCAGGCAATGACCCCCTTAGACCCTCATCTCTTCAGCCTCATCTTCAGCACAAGGGCAGATAACTGATTTCTTTGCTACCTTGTAGATCAGGCCACTGCAGTGTGCTTGTCAACAGACAACATAGTCTCATTCTCGCCCAAATGCTCTTTGTCTAGCTTAGCGAATGCGTATCTCCCCAGGTTCTCTGCTGTCGTCGGATTTTAGGGGATTGTGAGAGACACTCTCTGCATCGTGGCACTAGGACAATTAATTGTTGGGCTACCTCAGTTTCCAATCTGCTTGAATGCATTAGGCTTGACTTCTAAGTGCAAGCGCACCACACTGACAGTCTTCCAACTGATTTTCTCACTGCTTCCAATTCCTGCAAGACCGATTTAGGGGAAGTGGTAAAGTGGTGATTTTCTCTTGCCACTCGCAATTTTTTACCAGCATACTGCAAAGACGTATAAGCTAATTTCGATTAAGATATTCTACATATACGATCCACCTTGTGCCTTGTCTATTTTTTTGCTTCTTTTCCTTGTTGTGGTGAATATATGGCCAACACGCAAGAAGGACGATAATAATAACTACACCTAGCGCCTACATGTAAGCTCTCCTGTCACTCGAGAAGTTCAATACATAAAACTGCTCCATTTCCTAGATTAATCTCTCTGGGATATTCTCCAGATACTGTTCAATCCTTCCCTTGCATTAAATATGCTATCGGAAATCTTCACGTGGTGAATTTACTCTGCCAGAATGTGTGCACCTGATGGTACGTGGTTCTGGATATTGCCTTCTGGCACCTGTTGACAGTCAGGTACAGCATAATTTATGTCTGACCGAGCTGACTCAGCAAATCAAAGACATGGGAAACCCTTGCATCCATGCAGGATTTTGCTTCAATGGAACCCACATGCTGCGCTTCTTTCACTATGCCCTGCATGAGTCATGCATGCCCTTTACAAATAGCCCTTCCAATCCAAAATCCCCACAATCCATCCTATCTATCCACACAGAAAAATTTCCACAGTAGCCCATTTTACCGCCCAATCATATTCTCTCCTAACAACGCAGACTCTTCAACCAAGGATGTTTGTTAGCTTTCCCGATCATCCTTATATTCGGTCTGGTGGTCTAGTGGTATGATTCTCGCTTAGGGAGTTTCTCACTCGTTGAGTTCCTATAAACCCTAAGAAAATTTGCGAGAGGTCCCGGGTTCAATCCCCGGCCAGACCCTTACTTTTGCTTTTTTCCCTTCTAGTGCAAGCAAGCCTGCTTGCTCTCTGCCTTGTGGGTGGGCATTTTGTTCTGGTGGACCCCGTGTTGAAGGTTGACAAACAAGCTCTTTCGTCATTCTTAGTGCTCCTTATATTTCTTTCTCTTCTATAACATTTTATTCCGTCTCTCTATCTCTCTATGTTGGTTACAGTAATTGCTACAGGCAGGTCAGGTTGAAAGAAAGATTGGATAATCAGGATCAGTCAGCCAACCCAGGCAAGTAAGTAAGTGTGTGTCTGTCTCTCTCTCTCTGATCTTCCTTCTGCTGCCTGCAGATTAGAGTGAGTGAGACACATAGTAAAAACATTATGGAAAAGTCGAAGGCACAAACTCTGTGTGTAACTATTATTATATATATATCTATCACGAGAACTAAGATTATCCATGGCTGAAGAAAAGGCCCCCAGTCCAAGCAACAACACACTGATTTTCTTATGTAGACCGTGATAACAAATCAATAGGGAACATGCGTGTTTCTTGCTTGAAACAACAACACGCCACGTCTATTTATCCTTGTCTCGATGTATGTGTGGTATCTATCCTCTTGTTGACAACGGCTAATATGCTTTCCCCCTTTTTTCACGTGTCTTTTTCCAGATCCCACAAAAACGCCGGAAAATGCAACTCGCTACAAACAGAATCCATGCAAGCATGGAGGCCATCTAAATATATCCCTTCAGCACAGCGGCCTCAGCGTTCAGTATGGAGGAACCCGCAGCTCCGATAACAGCTGCAGACGGCGTTAGCAACCAAAGAAAGACAAGAAGATAATTGGGCATCGGAAACCCAAGAAAATAGGTCGATAGGTAGATGGACGTACTGTTGTGGCTCAGAGCAACAAATTTGATATCAAAGATACCACTCTCGTCCTCTCTCACACGGCCGACGCTTACGGTATAGCCACGGCCCAAGTCGCGATCCAGCCTGGGCTGCGGCCTGTCGGCTTCGTCGAAGACCTGGATGCTGGGCCGGGGCGCGCTGGGACACCCCATCTGCTCCGCCATGCTGACGTACTCCCTCAGCGCCGCCTTGACGGCCTCGGCACTCGGCGCGGGCCGGTTCTTGAAGCGCAGCGAGACGCACGCTGTGTGGCCGTCAAGCACGGGTACCCTGTTGCACGCGGCTGAGACGCGCAGCTCTTCCTGCTCGACAAAGGCCGTGGCGTCGCCGTTGATGCCGCCCAGGATCTTGCGCGCCTCCGTCTCCAGCTTGTCCTCCTCGCCGCTGATAAAGGGGACGACGTTGTCGAGGATGTCCATGCTGCTCACGCCGGGATAGCCCGCGCCCGAGACGGCCTGCATGGTGACAACGCTAACAGTGTCGACTGGGCCAAAGCGCGCCTGCAGCGCGGCAAAGGGGATGACAAGGCCGATGACGGCGCAGTTCGAGTTGCACACTAGGAAGCCCTTCTCGAGGCCGTGGTGTTTGCGCTGGTGGGGGATGAGGTCGAGGTGGGGGAGGTTTACGGTCGGCACAACCAGGGGAACAAGGGGGTCGCGACGATAGTTCTTCGCATTGGAGAAGACGGCGAGGTTGGCCTTGAGGAACTCCATTTCTATTCGGGTTCCCCAAAAAGTCGCAATTAGTCAGTCACCTGCACATCTCATACATACAACTGCACAATTATGAGGAGAAAAAGCTTACCTATCTCGCCGGCGACATCTGAATCCAGCCCGCTGAAGACGACATCGCAGTCGGCAAACTCACTGGCCTTGCACTCGCGAACGACAAGCTCCCCGACGGGTCCCATAGGGGAGGCCTGCTTCCATCGCACCGCATCCTTGTACTTCTTTCCTGCCGATCGAGAGGAAGCGCCGACTGCGTGAAGGACGAAGTGAGGGTGCTGTGAAAGGAGGAGGATGAAGCGCTGCCCAACGGACCCTGTTGCGCCGAGCACGCCTGCAGACCGAAACCAAGGTCAGTCAGTACTGTTTGTCAGTCCTCTACTGTCAGGATTGATCGTCTTACCGCACTTCTTGGTGGGAAATTGAGAACCCATGTTAGATAACGACAAAGAATTCTGTATCTCTTGTTACCCCAGAAATCCTGAATTTACAAACGGAAGCACTCGTCCATTAAGAAGTGTAAGTATGTCTGGAGTCACGCTTGCAGGGAGCTCTTGTCTCCTGTTTTGCCCCGCCGTTGTGGCCAACGTGTGCCCCGCCATCCGCTATCGGACCAAAACTAAACATCTACAGCTGTACAGTTGTACGGTAAGCAGTACAGCGTCGTAGTATGACAGGTATCTACCTCCTTTGTAGGCCAGGGACCTGCATTAGCCTGTTAAGGTACCTTTATATGGAACAGTTCTCAGTTGAGGTTTCTTTGGATGTTGTATCTCGGGGGATGACATACCGTGCACATATAAGAATCTGAATATGGATCCCCCATGGGTAAGTCGATTGAGGGTACCATGCAGCATGAATTACACCACAAGGAATGCCACCCACGCGTCTAGATGAAGGTTTGATGGAAAGAGTTTTTGGATTTTTTGCATACGTGGAAGGCCATCTCTGAAAGAATGCATCGCTCGGGAGAATAGGACATGAAAAAATAATTGAACTTTGAATTGAATACCATACACTGTAGTACGCCTTTACCTAGCCCAGGAGGGATATAACGTACGCCCATCACCGAATGAACAAGACACCAGCACCGAGAAGGAAATAGTAGTCGCCATGTTCAGATCTTTTCATCTTTTTTGTCCATTAGGCACCCTAGAACTCCCCATCCAAAAATGTGCAAAAGACACCATGCTCAGCTACCTGCTCAGTCCATCAAAGGGATGCCCTCGAACTCGGCATAACCCCGCGCCAGGTTCATGTTTTCTGCATCGATTCATTAGTATTTGACGTGACTTAAAGAGAGACACTGCTAGGAGAGCATATAGATGGAGGGAAAAAAGCTTACGTAGGCACTGTGTGGCTGCTCCCTTCAGCAGGTTATCAATGGTTGCGCAGATGACAACTCGCTTGCCTGAGCTGTGGACGGCAAAGCCACCAATCTCTACGCCGTGCTTGCCACTGATGGCCTTGACGAGAGGGGCTTCGCCCACAACCTTGACGAGCTTCTCACCAGCATATCTGTCCTGGTAGATCTGGCGGATGTCGCGCGAGGTCATGGTCTTGTTCAGCGGGATGTTGATGGTGTGGTGGATGCCCTGGAACCAGACAGCCACGTGGGGGATGAAGCCGGCCTGAATGCCCAGCTGCGTGCTCATCTCCTTCTCGTGAATGTGGTCGGTCAAGCTGTATGGGATGAGATTGTTGGTCAGGAATTCGACATTGTTCTTGGGAGAGGGCTTGGTGCCCGCGCCCGAGTAGCCAGAAACGCCAAAGACGGTAGGCTGACCGCCAAGATGTTCGACCATGGGGGCAAGAGCTAGCTGGGCGGCTGTAGCGTAGCATCCCGGGTTGGCAATCTGTGTAGCTTGGGCAATGGCTGATCGCCTCACCAGCTCAGGAAGGCCGTATGTCCAAGAACTATCGAACCGGTAATCAGCAGAAAGGTCGATGATCAAACTGCTGTCTTCCCGAGGCGCCTTCTCCTTGGCGTCACGGATGGCATCGACGTATGGCTTGCACACGCCGTTGGGCAGCGCCATCACCCAGACGTCGATCAGTCCCTTCTTCTCCATCTCTCCGCAGTCGTCGGCTGTGAGGCTTTCGTAGGTGATCTCTTTCTTGTCATATCCCTGCAGCTTCTGGCCAGCCAGTTCCCGGGAAGACACATTCTGTAACTGGAAGTGGGGGTGGCTGTTGATGAGGCTGATCAAAGCCTGACCGGTATAGCCCCTGGCGCCGATGAGGGCCACACGGGAAGGCTGCTCGTTAGAAGCGTGCTTCTTTCCGTAAGGGGGGTTGGGGTTCGTGGTGGTTGCGTAGCCTCTCAATGCTGGACTGGAGAATGCCCTGGTAGGTGTGGCTCCCATCAATGGACGACGGGCCATGGTGGAAAAGCCGCGAGCTTGGTTAGCGGCCGATCCCGAGGCAAAGTGCGACCTCAGATTCTCGGAAGCAATCTGGGCTGCCCGATGAAGCCGGGACTCAAGGTTGGAATCACCAAGCATGGCTCTACCGTGCATGGTGAAGTCCTTCATGAGCTTGTTCAGCTGCTCACCAGGTTCAATGCCGTACCAAAACATCACATCATTGCCTCTAACAATGCTGCCGTCGGCTTTGTCGAAAAACCATGTGAGATTCTCGTCGTCGGACTTGACCGTCCAGACCAGGCTGGGATACTCCTTCTGGATGGCGGAGAAGAGGTTGTCAGCCACGTTGGTCAGCCAGCCGGATTTCGTTATCGTGAGGGTAGCCAGGGTAGCGTAGGGCTCCTCTGCGGAAGACTCGAGAATGACGGCGAGGGCTTTCATAGGCTCATCGAAGAAGGCCTTGAATTTCCGCTCCTTCAAGAACTCCAGATACCGGTCAACGGTGGATCTGGCGTCCCGCACTTCACGATCTCTGACGAGGACTTCCTTAAGCTTCTCAAGGTCTGCAAAGTCGGAGATGCTGCTGGCCGTCATGAGCTTGTCTCCTCGTCGAATAAGAGTGCCGGCTCCCGAGTCGGTGAAGAGCTCCTTTTGGAGATCTGCGGGGTGGATGATGGCAACGCTCGAGGAACGAGGCAAGTTTTCCAGCAACTCCTTAATCTCCTTGATCTTGAGCCGGGTACCGAACTTGCACCATGGCTGAGCCATGAGGTGGTCGTACTCCTCATCCAGATTGATAGCAGAGATCTTTTGCATGTTACCATCGAAAAGACCGCCCTTCTCACTAAGATAGACGACCTTCAGAGGTTCCAGTCTGCGAGCAAGCTCACCAGCCGCAACGTCTGCATTAACATTCAGGATCTGCCCCTCAGTGGTCTCGGCCATGGACGTAAGAATGGGAAGATAACCATTCTGGATGGCAGTCTGGATGGGCTCCTCGTTGACATCGGTAATCTTGCCAACAAAC